CGCTAATTAACTTTATAACTGGATTATCACAAAAAAGGTGTGATAATAAAGCAGCATAAAGTCAAAACGAACAACATTGTCACTTCCTGATTAACTGGCACCAAATATCAACAGTAAAAAAGGAATTTGCTGCGATCGAAGCTGTGTGAATCTTTTCTTTATTTATTAAAAGACTTGCACCTTTGAAAAAAGTATGCCGACATGCAATGAACATGTGGTGGCGTTAAAAGATATGAGAAACAGAGCACAGACGCTCTTGACCGTTGATTATTAATCTAACAACACTAATACTGAAACGGTTATGGTTATGGTTAAAATGACCAAAACAACATTTCAGATGTTATACAATGAGCTCAGCCTGCTGGTTTGTCCATTCACACACATTTTCATCATCACATGATCTCAAAATCACACAAAATAACAAAATCACATCACTTTTTTTTTTTTTTTTTAATACGCATACTGGAAATTGTTTGATAAAAGTGTTTTCATCTTAGTTTATGCACATCTTTTCTTTAAAAAAAAAAAGTTTACCCTACAGTTATGCACAAAATTATTTTTTTTATGCACTTTTTCAAAAGTTATGTGCATCTTGGTGTTTTTATCAACCAATTTTTATGCGCAAATACAAAATACATATTCTAAAAATGTGGAAACGTAGCTAACGAGGCATTTAAAATGCAGAGTAGCAAGCTCAACGGCTGCTGAGGCGACAGCAATCAATCTCCTGCGCCATGTAATTAATGACACAAGAGCAGATCAGGTGATCTATTGGCCTGCGGATGCATAGATTTATATTTGTAATTTGAGCATGTTTTTAGGATATAAGAGATATATGGTGTTTTTGCAAAAAAAGACATGCCAATTTTCAATGTCAATATCTATTTCCAATAAACCTTTTCAATTTGCAAAGTTTGTGCACTTTGAAGGGCAATGAAAAAATGGCACCCTATACACTTACGCACTATGTACTTATCCACTTACACACTCAACAGCATAGTATACGCATGTAGTGTCGTCCCAAATGGAGCACTAATGGGTTTTTTACTAAGCAGAAATTCAAAACTTTCCCTGATGTCATTTGAATCAAATCAGTGAAATAAATGACCAAACTACCAAATAATACCTGCCATGATGAGTATAACCACATTCTCTATTGGGAGGCGCTATAATCACTCTCGTAGGAGAATTTTGCTTTCACAATCCAAAATAGATGCATTAATCCAACATCAGCTCTGCCCCTTTCGCTACATGCGCAAAGTTGAGTGCGTGGTGTCCAACATAACTTAATTTTAACAGTTGAATAAGTGCATCATCCTGGTATTTAAAGACCACTTGTTATTTGTAGAGTTTTCAGTGTGAATGCACTACTTGCACTATCTATACTACAAAATGGCGTAGAATAATGAACAAGTATGCGACACACCAATAAACTTTATATGGAGCTAATAATGTTTGTTTTTAATCTTTCTAAATGTATTAGATCACAAACACTACAGTAAAAGCGTTTTAAGGTCAAACATTCAGTACATGAAAATACACAAAAAATATAGGTCTTTTTGAGTGACTAACCCTACCCTGTAATTATGATTTATGTGAAAAGCAATAAAAGTTGTTGGTGTTTGACTGCCATTAGTGTTTATTTCAGTGAATTTAGCAATAATGCAGGCAGAAGTGCATTTTTACAACTAGCCAAGTAGGGTTTGTCTGCGGACTGCAAGTCATGGCTTAACTTGAAGTAATGAAGACCCACATGTGTCAACTATGTTTTCGGTAAGATGCCACCGTACACAGTTATTAACATCTACCTATTCCACTCTGCACGTACAGCCGTGAGTTGCACAGGCTTTCATATTTGTGCTCACCATTCCACAGTTAGCTCCAACCACAGGGGGTGACGCAGAGTAGTCTAACTGTCATGACAAAGCAGATGAAGTAGTCAGTGAGCGGAGTAGCTAATATCAAATGAATTGGCTGTGGATTAAATTGGAGAAAAAGCACGAAAACATTTGCTGAAAATGTTCTCTGGAAAGTATTTCTGTCATCTTGCCAACAATATCTCATTGTGAAATCTTGCATGGTTCGGTGGGATCTCAATAACTGCAAGTTATGCCTCTACTGCAAGTTACACCTCTCTCTTGCAGTTTACAGACAGATACACTTGGATTAGCCTGGCTTGCAAACATGAAATCGGAAAACTTAGGCACAATAACATGGACACCATTTTACAAAGTGAGCTGAGTAATACATTATTTCTCACAAAAGTATCTGAGTAGATCATCTTCCCATGGACCGAACATTCCTTTTTTTTATCAAGACTTTGATATAGACTTCAAAGTTTGATAATTCATATGGTTTAGATACATTCTCACAAAACACAACTAGGAGGACACAGAGACATCCTCTCCTGAATGTCCATATAAGAGTATTTTGAATTTCATTTTCAACACATTTTCCTCCTGCGCGCACACACACGCACACGCACACCCACACACACACACACGCGCACACACAAACACAAACACACACACATTTTGACTCGATAAAATTGTCGATAAAAAATAGCTCCCTACAAAACCAGAAATTCTGCCGGGCAGACAGACAAATGGACAAAAAGACAGACAGACAACCAGACAGAAAGCCGGAAAGACAGACGTTCAAACAGATGGACAAACAGATAGAAAGATGTACAGATGGACAGACAGTTGGATGGACAGAGAGAACAGAAAAAAAAACGGACGGATTGACAGACACAGAGAGATGAATTGATGGACACAGAGAACAGAGAGATATATAGACAAACAGATGGACAAAACGACGGATGAAAGAACGGACGGAAAGACAGGCAAACTGATGGACAGACAGACAGACAGACGGACGGACAGACTGACAGACAGACAAACAGATGAACAGTCAGAAAGACAGATGGACAGTTAGATGTATGGACAGAGAACAGATAGAAAGATAGATAGACGAAGGGACGGACATACAGACACAGAGAGATGAATTGATGGACAGAGAGAACAGACAAACGGATGGACAAAAAAGACAGACAGACAGACAGAAAGAAAGAAAGACAAATGGATGGACAAACAGACGAACAATTAGAAAGATAGACAGACAGATGGATGGACAGAGAGAATAGACAAAGACAGATGGCCGAATGGAAGATAAAGACACAGAGAGATGAATGGATGGACAGATTGACAAACAGACAGACAGACAGACACAGAGAGATGGACTAAAAGACAGACAGACCGATGGACATATAGACAGATGGATAAAAAAGACAGACAGACAGATGGACATATGGACAGATGGACAAAAAGATGGACAGACAAACGGACAAAAGGACAGACAGACGGACGGACGAACGGACAGACAGACGGACAAACAGACGAACAGCCAGAAAGACAGATGGATGGACAGAAAGACGGATGGACGAAAGGACAGATAGACAGACACAGAGAGATGAATGGATGGACAGAGAGAACAGACAAATAGAAAGACAGAAGGACAGACAGACAGACTGTTAGGCAGACAGACAGACAAACAGAAGGACATTCAGAAAAACAGATGGACAAACAGACAAAAAAAACAGATGGACAGACGGTTGGACAGAGAGAACAAACAGATGTACAGATGGAAAAACAGACGGAAAAACAGTTGAACAGACAAGTGGATGGACAGAGAACAGAAACACAGATGGACGAATGGACAGATAAAGAGATGCAGACAGATGAATGGATAGACAGAGAGAACAGAGAGAGGTACAGACAAACAGACATATGGACAGATGGACAAAAAGACAGACAGACAGACGAACAGACGGACGGACAAACAGACAAATGGATAGACAGACAGATGGATGAACAGAGAGAACAGACAGAAAGATAGACAAATGGACAGACAGACAGACAGACAGATGTATAGACAGATGGACAGACAGATAGATGGACAGAGAGAACAGAGAGAAAGACAGATGGACGGATAGACACAGACAGATACAGAGAGATGAATGGATGTACATACAAACAGATGGACAAACAGACTGAGAGGCAGGCATACAGACAGACAGCAAGACAGATGTACGGACAAATGGACAGACAGATGAATGGACAGATGGACAGAAAGACAGAGAAATGGAAAGACAGAGAGATGGGCAATCAGATTGAGAGGCAGGCAGACAGACAGATGGACAAAAATATGGACAGTTAAAAGCGGATGGACAGAGGGAATAAACAGAAAGTCACATGGACAGATGGACAGACACAGAGTAATGAATGAATAGACATAGAGAACAGACAGACAGATGGACAAAAAGACAAACAGACAGACAGAGAGACAGATGGACAAAAAGACAGGTGAACACACAAACACATGGACCGAGGGATGGACGGACATACACTAAAAGAGCAGACAGAGGGATAGATAGATAGACAGACACACAGACAGACAGTAAGGCAGATGAACAAACAGACACACAGACAGACAGACAGACAGACAGACAGACAGACAGACAGACAGACAGACAGACAGACAGACATATGGATAGATGGACAGACAAATGGACAGACAAAACAGATAGATGGACAGAGAGAAGATAGATGGACAGACAGACAAACAGAAAGACAGACAGACAGAGATATGGATGAATGAACAAACATAGAGACAGATGAACAAAGACAGATAGACAGACAAAAAGACAGACAGAGGGACAAACAGACGGACAAAATAAACACAGACAGACAGACAGACAGACAAACTGACATATGGATAAACAGTCAGACAGATAAAGAGACAGACAGAAAAACAGACAGACAAAAAAAAGACAGACAGATGGACTAACAAAGACACAGACAAACAAAGGGACAGACAGCAGTACAGACAGACAGACAGACAGGTGGAAAGACAGACAGATAGGCAGAGAGAAAGACAGTCAGACAGATGGACGGACACACAAACAGACAGCTTTGATAGTAGAAGAGAGAGAGACTCAC